CAAGATGATGCTGTTAAAGTGCTGTACTCAACATGTCAACAAATTTGGAAAACTCGGCCATGACCACAGGACTGGAAAAGTACAGTTTTGATTCCAATGACAAAGAAGGGCAATGTCAAATAAAGTTCCAAATATCATACAATTCCGTTCATTTCACATGCTAGCAAGATTACGCTCAAAATCCTTCAAGCTAGGCTTTAGGAGTATGTGATCCAAGAGTTTCCAGCTGCAAAAGTTGGGTTTAGAAAAGGCAGAGGAACCAGAGATCAAATTGCCATATTCGCTGGACTATCAAGAAAGCAAGGGAGTTTCAGAAAAGCATCTACTTCTGCTGCATTGACTATGCTAAAGCCTTTGACTGTGTGGATCACAACTGTGGTAAGTGCTTAAACAGAAGGGAGTAGCAGACCATCTTATCTGTCTCCTGAGAATCCCATCTGCGGGTCAAGAAGCAATAGTCAGATCTGGACATGGAACAAGTGACTGGTATAACAAGGCTGTATATTGTCACCCTGCTTATTTAACTTCTATGCAGAGTACATTATGTGAAATGCTGGGCTGGATGAATCACAGCTGGAATCAAGATTGTTGGGAGAAATATCAACAATCTCAGATATGCAGATAGTCTAATGGCAGAAAGTAAAGAGGAACTAAAGAGACTCTTGATGAAGGTGAAGGAAGGGAGTGAAAAAACTGACTTGAAACTCAACATTCAAAATACTGAAGTCACGGCATCCGGTCCCATCACTTCATGGCAAATAGAAGAAGAAAAAATATAAACAGTGACAGATTTTATTTTCCTGGGCTCCAAAATCACTATGAACGGTGACTGCTGCCATGAAATTAAAAGACACTTGCTCCTTGAAAAGAAAGCTATGACAAACCTAGAGAGCATATTAAAAAGCAAAGATATCACTTTGCCAATAAAGGTCCACATGTCAAAGCTATGGTTTTTCCAGTAGCCATGTAAGGGTGTGAGAGGCAGACCATAAAGCAGGCTGAGTACAGAAAAATTGATGTTTTTGAATTGTGATGCTGGAGAGGACTCTTGAGAGTCCCCTGGACTCAAGAAGATCAAACCAGTAAATCCTAAAGGAAATCAACCCTAAATATTCACTGAAGTAATGCTGCTGAAGCTGAGGCTTAATACTTTGGCCATGCGATGTGAAAAGCCGACTCACTGGAAAAAAACCCTGATTTGGGGAAAGACTGAAGGCAAAAGAAGAAATGGACAGCAGAGGATAAGACAGTTAGATAGCATCACTGACTCAATGGACATGAACCTGAGCCAACTCTGGGAAACAGAGGAGGGCAGAGCAGCCTGGCAAGCTACAGTCCATGAGGTCACAAAGTTGGGCAAGATTGAAAACAACAAGACTGGAAAACAACAAAGTACCAGCATATCCTTAAAAGCTCAATAGAATTCACCAGTAAAGCCCCTGGACCTGGGCTCTCCTTTGTACAAGGTTTTTTGTTTTGTTTGTTTTTTAATTACTAATTGAAATCGATTTCTTTACTTGTTAAGGTCAATTCCCATATTCTATTTCTTTGTCAGTTCTATAGTTTGTGTCTTTCTAAGCATTTCTCTATTTCATCTTGGTTACGTAGTTTGTTAGCATACAGCTGTTTCTTATAATCCTTTTTATTTCTGTAAGGTCACAGTAATGCAACCTATTTTATTCCTGATTTTAACAATTTAAGCTTCTCTCTTTATCTAGTTAAAGCTTTACTGATACTGTTGATCTTTTCAAGGAACCAACCAACTTTTGGTTTCCTCATTGTCTCTTATTTTTCTAGCGTCTATTTCATTTATCTCTACTCTGATCTTTATTATTTCCTTCCTTTAACTTGCTTTCAGTTTAATTTACTCTTCTTTTTCTACTTTGTTAAAATGGAATGTTATTGATTTGAGAACTTTTCTATATAGTTTTTATAACTAAGAATTTACTTTAAAGCATGGTTTTTAGCTGCACACAGTAAGTTTTTTTTTACACCGTAAGTTTTCATATGATCCATTTTCATTTCCAGTTATATCAAAATATTTTCTATTTTCCTTTGTGATTTCTTCTTTGACCTATTATTTATTTAGAATAGTGTTGTCAATTTACCACATATTTGTGAACTGTCCAGTTTTCCTTCTGTTAATGATTTCTAATTTACTTCCAGAGTGGTCAGAGAACATACTTTGTATAATTTCAATATTTGTAAATTTACTGAAATTCATTTGATGGACTAACACATGATCTAACCTGGAGAATATTCCCTATGCACTTGAAAAGAATATGTATTGTCCTGTCATTAGGTGCAGTGTCCTATGTTTGTATGTATAGCTAGTTTACAGTGTTACTCAAGTCTTCTGTTTCCTTGCTGACCTTCAGTTTGGTTTTTCTGTCCATCACTGAAAGTGAGGCATTGAAGTCTCCAACTATTATTGTCGAACCATCTAGTTTTCCTTTTAATTCTTTCATTGTTGCTTCATTTATTTTGGAGCTCTGCAGCTGGATCCAACTCATAGCAATTAGAAGCAAACATCATGCTTTCTAATGGATAAACTCCTTGATCATTATAAAATGTCCCTCCCCTACCTCTAGCAACAATGTATATCTTATAATCAACTTTGCTTGATAATACAGCTTCTCAGCTCTCTTTTGGTTACTCAATACCTGCTATATCGTCTTTAATCCTTTACTTTCAAGATATTTGTGCTTTTGAGTGCAAAGTGTGCCTCTTATAGACAGGATGTAATTTATATTTTTAAAAATTTAGTTCTTCAGTCTCTGCTTTTTTGCGAGTTTAATTCATTTACACTTAAGGCTATTACTGTTAATAAAGTATTATGTCTGTCATCTAGCTTCCACTAGGATTTTTTGGATATTTTTGTCTTTTTGTTCATTTGTTTCATTATTGCTACAGATATTTTCTAATATATTAATATATTAAGTTTCTAGTGCATTATTAATACATTAAGTCTCTTATTTTATATTTTACTATATATTTTTGAGTTTGGCATAGGAGTCTCTCAGAGAATTACAAAAGACATTGTAACTTAAACAATCTAGTTCTTATTAATATCAACTTAATTTTAATACAATATAAAAACTCTCTTTCATTCCCTTTATTCTATATTTGTCACATAAACCACATCTTTATATAAGTTCTCCAACACAGTTGTATAATTGTGCTCTTTTATGTTGATTCTGAAATAACACATAAATATGTAATAAAGGAAATGAAGAAGAGCCTCTAAACCACAGACAGGCAGAATTTTTTAAAAATATATAAAATCTCTTTGGGGTAGTTTCTGGTTACATTATCCTTGGTACTTGTGATTATAGGTAGCAGTGCATATGTGCCCCCTTAGTTTAAAAGTAGGAGGAAGTCATGAATTTGATAAGGGAAACATTTTTTAATTCTTTAGGTCAGCAAACTATTCCCCACAATACCCAAAGTATTTACTATCTGACTTCTTATAGAAAAACACTGCAGATTACTGCTCTATAGACATTTTAAAATAAAGACACACTACTTGCTAATTACAGAAAGAAATTATAGAAATTGATAAAGAAAATATTCTTAATAAGATACTGATATTCTGTGAAACATATGTTGCATATTACTCTGCTTCTTTAAATAACACAAATTTGAAAAGTCTTAAAACCTGCATAAAAGTCTTAATAAATTTGAATAGGTTTAATTCTAAGTTCCTTATGTATTTTGCTTTTATTAGTCTTTAAGTGACCTCTTTTCTGTTTGTTTATGGTGTATGGAAATGGCTACCTTAATATACTGATCACATAAATATAGCCTTCTGCTGAATGGTTATTACTGATGCCTATAGATTTGCTCATATTTTTTTTGTTAACAATCACATCATTTCCAAATAATGACTTTTTCCTGCTTTGTTCTCAATTATGAAATATTGTTTCTGTTTTACTGTATTGGTTAGGAACTCCACCAAAATCCTATATATAAGTAGATTACTATATTCATGTTATCTTTGCTTTCCATCTTACTCCTGACTTTAGAAGAGAATGATGCTAATATTTTATCATTTAAGAATATTATTTGCCACATGTTTTTTGCAGATATCCTTTAATCATGGTATGAATGTCTCTCTTGACTTTTAGTTTACTAAGGTTTTGTTTCCTTTTTATAATCATCAATGAGTCCATGGTCATGTTTTACTATGCAATACTGACTCTCTATAGAACTGATCTATTTCAGAAGTAAGAAAAGACTGGACTTATTTCTTTGTTTCATCCTTTTAAATCACAAAATACCTCTGGATTTCTCTAAATTGGCATTACATATTACCAAGAATTATTAAATAATTTGTAATTTGAAGTTGTAAATAATCACTGGCAAAATCTTATCCTTCCTTCACATCAACTGAAAAAAGTTACTAAAAAGAATAGATGTGAGATCATAGATTATTATATAAAACATCAAGTTTTCTGAGAAATTATCAGTATATCAAACATTTAGGATTTTGCAAGTAAAGGTCATTCTTTCCAAATTTTAATTATAAACTTAAGTGGAAAAGTAGCATCCTACCAAAACAGCTTTATTCTCAGAGCATTCTAGTAAAAGAGCATGTATGAACACTTTATCTAGTGGGGAAAGAGAATCTGAAAAGAAGTGTGTGCATGCATACTAAGTCACTTTAGTAGTGTTAGACTCTTTACAACCTTACGGACTGTAGCCCACCAGGCTCCTCTGTCCATGAGATTCTCTAGGCTAGAATACTGGAGTGGGTTGCCACGCACTCCTCCAGGAGATTTTCCCAACCCAGGGATCAAACCCATGTCTCTTACATCTCCTGCATTGGCAGGTGGGTTCTTATCCACTAGCACCACCTGGGAAGCCCAAATGAGATTAGATGCTAACTGGTTCTAATCTCCAATACTAAAGACCTTGCAATTAAAAAGTATGGTTGATAATTTTTCCCACTTTGCCTTTTACCATTAAGTTAAAAGTGACTACTTTACTAGAGAAACTACCTGATTCTGTAGAGTACATTTTGCCTGGTTGATTCATCTATATGGAAGACATGGTTGGGTGGATACCAGATCCTTTCTGTTTCACTCATTAAAGCAAACATACTATGATATACAGGTGTGATTCCTAAGAAAGAAACAGAAACAAATTATTACAGATATTAAAGTACATTTATAATAACATCTATAATCTGCAGTGGGGCTGAAGCAATAACTCTTAAAATCTATGCAAAATACAGCAGCAGTCAAAATCTTCCAGTTCAACACTACTTACAAGTAAGTTCTTAATTAAATATATTTTCCTCCTATATTGTAACATTTGACTGCTAGGATTCTTTCAAACACATTATAAAAAAGTTTATCTAGTTTTTTTTAGTTGTCTGGTACAGTAAAGTTGACCCAATAATACTGGATTAACCCAACAATATTGTTTTAAATAATAATGAGGGTACCAAATAACTAAAATATTTGAGTCACCAGGAGCTTTAAAAAGAACAATGAAACAGTTTTATTTTTAAATATCAAGTTTTACACAATACACTTGTTATTATATTCTCTGAACTATTTAAACTTACAATGAAACTTTTAAACATCAACGTAAAACGCAAGGATATGTGATTTTTTTTTCAAAAATATTTTAGAAGGTACATTAACAAAAGGTTGAAGGCCAGTGAACTTTAAAAATCACATAGAACACTTAAACCACAAAATTAAATAATGTATATTATTTCCAAACACAAAGAGAACCCACACAAGTACATACCAATCATGTGAGGCTAAAAACAAGTCTCCAAAAATGCCAGAGAATGGTCATACATACCATGTTTTCTATTCACATTTCAACTAAATCAGAAACAAATACTAAGAAAAAAGAGAACAGGAAAACTGACACATTTTTAAATTCAGTTTGACCATGATATCAAAACCAAAGACATTGTAAAATGGTGAATCTCACTTACCAAAATAAATTTAAAAATCCTAAATTAAACATTTGCAAACAAAATCTAGCAATGTTTCTTAGAAAAAAAAATGACAAAGTTCATTTATTTGAAGATTGGAGAGATGGCTAAATTAAGAAAATCTACTAACATAACTCATCAGGATGGTGGCTCAGAGAGTAAAAGAATCTGCCTGCAATGCAGGAGACCCAAGTTTGATCTCTGGGTCGGGAAGATCCCCTGGAAAAGGAAATGGCAACCCACTCCAGTATTCTAGCCTGGAGAATTACATGGACAGAGGAGCCTGGCAGGTTACAGTTCATGGGGTCACAAACAGTCAAACACGACTAAGTGACACTTTCGACATCATAAGATATTAGAAAAAAGTCTGTAGTTAAATGACAAGATGATAAATTTGAGAAGTAGTGAGCATGCTGATATGTATTTTATCATTCTACACAAAGAATTACTTGAAATATGTTATAATAAAAATCAAGATTCAAAAGGCAAAACAAAAATATTAAAAGTGAAAATGGAAAAAAAAATGGAAATAAGTTATTCACAGTGGAGCAAATCCACAAGACTAAAAAGCAAGAGAAAGAATGGAAATATTAGTTTACATTGAAGAAAATGTAAATTTAAATTAAGTAATATCACTTTATCCCCATTCACCTATTCACCTAAGAGGGGTAGCATCTAGTGCTGATTGAACTGTAGTGAAAAGGGAACTACACTACGTAATCGCTAGAAACGTAAACTAGCACAACTTCTGAGAAAGTAGTACCTATATAGTTGTGAGAAATCAATGTCAGTAAAAATTTAAAATGTGTTTTTAAGCCAGCAATCTCTCCTGGGCACTCCTAAAAATGCAGCATAGTAGTAAGAAATTGAAAAGAAATAAAATGTAAATTCAAGAGCAGAAAATATGAAAAAACTGAGGCGGTATACTCCATTCCATGGACCTTTATGAAATTTAATAAAAAGAATGAGTTAGTACCAAGGCAGTTGGTTTGAACAGATTTTTCACAATGTATGTGTTCATGAAAAAAGCAAGACACACATAAGAGTGTATAGTATGATTCCATGTTATAAAAGAATGATCTCAAAACCCTAGTGACTCTGTACGACAGGGAGCGGGGTTGTGCATTCCTATATGATTATATGGGGGCTTCCCTGGTGGCTCAGGCAGAATCTGCAACGCAGGAGACCCAGGTTCAATCCCGGGGGCAGGAAGATCCCCTGGGGAAGAGAATAGCTACCCACTCCAGTCTTCCTGCTGGAGAATGTGATGGTCAGAGAAGCCTGGTGGGCTACAGTTCACGGGGCAGCAGAGAGTCAGACACTAATGAGCAACTGAGCACACACGGTCACACGACTACGGGGGAAACTTGGAGGGTCCACCAAAGATCACGGTCCTAGGTACCAGGATGGGGCTAAGGTAAAAGGAAGATAACAGTACCATGGAGAATAAACTTCTTCCTTTTTTAAAGAATTCATTAAATAAAAACAGTAAGCCCCATGTTAAAAAGAAAGGGAAAGTGGAAAACAGATAAAAGACACTAATGAATACAAAGTGAGGGTCCACCACGTATGCCACTTTGAAACTAGAGAAAAATGGCTTGTTCGTCTCTAAACTTTAAAATAATCGTAAGATGATAGGAAAGAATACTATTCAAATAATTTGAGAAGTAATTATTTTATCTGAGTACTATTTGGATCTAGTCTAATTCTGCATTGAAAAAATGCTTTAAACTTGACATTTCTTTTATCTAGAAGGTACCTCTTTCCACAAAACAAGCCACGTTGCCAGTGTTTCAGGTACACACATGAGACACGGTGGGAGTGCATACACCTCAGTCCTACACAGCCGATTCACTTTGCTGTACAGCAGAAACTAACAACACTGTAAAGCAATTATACTCCAATTACCAAAAAAAACAGTGGGAGATGAAGTTACCCAGGAAGGGAACGTAAAACACCTGATATGAAATTGCCTTGGAAAAAAGAATACTAGGAAGAGAACTTTAGCAAAAAAAGCATCATTTAGTTTAAATGTAATCATGCAAATAAAATTGCATATATGGAACCATTATTCTTAGCATATGATGACAGGCGTATTTTTCTGAACAACATAATGTCATGATTTTCAAACAATAGTGTGATTATACAAAGCAGGAAAAGTGAACTCATACTGATGAAACATTAGGATTTTTTAAATGTTGAATAATGATTTCTTAACAGAAGTAAGACTCCAAACCTTAATTATATGTATCAAAATAGGAAAACAAATGTATCCATATAAATTGGCACAAAAGGGTCAGAACAAGGGGATGCACCCCTAAAGGAAAATGGTTAGGTCACAAGGCCAACAAGAGCAAAAGACAGTGCTTACGTCATGTTTAGTCACACCATCTTATTCCAAAATGGCAATTATATATTAATACTTAATTCACATTTTTTCTAACTAGTTCATGTTAATTGGGCTGTTCTAGGAAGAAAGAAAAGGCAGTGACACTGTGTCTGAGATATACATTATACTGAATAGATTCAAAGAAACTTCAAAGTCACTTTTAACTCCTTTTCTTTCCCTACACACTAAGTCCAAATTATTCTTATTTTTATTTTAAAAAAAAATTAATTCAAAATGTTTCTTCTTTTCTAAGCCACTACCAAAACTGTGATTCATTTCCATATCATTTTAGACCAAGAACAGTCATCATTCCACTAATATTAACAGTCTCTATTCTATAATATGCACAAGATGGGTATGGAAAATACAAAAATGAAAACACTGCCTAACTTTAAGGCTCTCATAATAGGTGACCCAGAGAAGCCACTAGAGAATTACAAAACAAGAAATTAAGTGCATGATAGTAAAGACGACAAGAAAATACAAAAGTATAGTGTTGAAAAAGATTCTTTCATAGACAAACTTTTAGTCAGGCTTCTCTGAACCCTCCCCTAAGTAACCCCAAAAGTTTATTTCCTTGAAGAATCCATTCCTTGCTAAATGGATTTAAGCAGGATTCCTGCTAAATTTAGCAAGATTTTGCCACCTTTGACATATCTGATCAAATTCTGCACTCCTTTAATCCCCCAGCTGGTATCTGATCACCATGGCCTGCTCAGCAAGAATCACCCCCAGACCTGATGTCTCCTCCAGTAATTTGCGATTCCCCAGTGTCCCCATCCTACTTGTTCCTTGGCTATAAATTTCCACTTTTTCAGACAGTACTCAGAATTAAGCCCACTTCTACACTGGAGTAGCTTTCCTTACTGTAATAGTTATTTAAATAAAGTACATCTTTATCACGTTTTGTCTGGCTCAGGTTTTCTTGAGCAAAGGTAAAAAAATGTATCAAGAGGTTCAAGTGAAGTAAAGATAAACAATAGTTGAAGGAATGTCACCAGCAGATCTGCAATACAAGAAATACTAAAAGGAGTTCTTTACGCTGAGGGAAAACGATGACAGATGAAAGCATGGAACTGTATGACAAACGAATGGGAGAGAGTAAAAGAACAATAACCATTTAAATCAATAATAATTTATGTACCTGTGTATTTATGATGTGTACAAAAGTAAAATAGACCAGTAACACCAAATGTGAAAAGAAGTAAACACAGTTAAATTGTTATAAAATTCTTGAATTGTTTGAAAAATAACATGCTAGCTTAATACTGTAATAAGCCAAAAAATGTACACTATAATATCTAGGGTAGCTGCCAAAAGAAAAATACAAAAACCAGTTCAAAAAAAAAAATCCAATAGAAGAGATAAAGTTAAAAAAAAAAAGAAAGAAAAATACTTGATCAACCTAAAAAAGGCAGAAAAGGAGGAAACCTAAAGATACATAAAATAGAAAACAAACAAGGTTATAAACACAAATACATCAGTAATTATATTATACATAAATGTAAATGAGCCAATTAAAATACATATTATATCAGTCTGGATTATTAAAAAGAAAACTGTGTTATTTACAAGGGACATACTTTAAACAACACAGGTTCGATCCCTGGGTTGGGAAGATCCCCTGGAGGAGGAAATGGCAACCCATTACAGAATTCTTGTCTGGAGAATCTCATGGACAGATGAGTCTGGCGTTGTTACAATCTATAGGGTTGCAAAGAATCGGGCATGATTGAGTGACTAACACTAATTTAAACAAAAGGATATAGATAGGTTGAT